TTTTTTTTTTTTTTTTTTTTTTTTTTTTGCGTACGGTCATTGTAGCTCTCTATCTGGGTGATCTTTCAGTCTACATGGTAAATACAGCTATAATGACCGTACGTTGTATTCGGTCGGGGGAAGATAGTAGGGTCGGTCAGGAATTCCGTTGATCTGCTTCATAAGGGGCCTCGCTTCAGTACTGTCGAAATGCACAAAAGACAAAAATCATGGCGGTGTATAGTTCCACGTTATAGGGGAAGATTCACTCTCGTTTTGCACGTTTCGAGAGTAGTGGAGCGAGGGGCATGAACTCGAACGCCCGGGGGCCAGGTCCCACTAGCAGCGTTGAGTTTCCTCCGCGCTTGAATCTGGACGCCTTCGTGGAGATGTGCGGTTGAGAAAAACTCAACGCGATTTTTGCACATATCCACAGACACGACCAGATTCAGGCGTTGAGGAAACTCAACGGTGCTGGTGGGACCTGGCCCCGGCTCGTTCTCGACGATGTATGGGTGTACCACACTCACCGCTCTTTTTTCTTTTTTTTGGTCGGGAAGCATTATTATAGATGCATTGCAAAATCAGTAGGACGAGGCCGGGGGCCAAGTCCCACTAGCAGCGTTGAGCTACCTCAACGCCTGAATCTGGACGTGTTTGTGGAGACGTGCAGTTCAGGAAACTCAACACCATTTCCGCACATCTCCCCAAAATCGTCCAGACTCAGGCGTTGAGGTAGCTCAACGCTGCTAGTGGGACTTGGCCCCGGGGGACCTCAAAATTCGACCTACCTCACGGCTCTTTTTTTCTTTTTCTTTTTTTTTTCTTTTTTTTGAATGTATGGGCCTCGCTGCGCTAGTCTGCAGATGCAGAAAAGACGGAAAAAAGAAGGCAATGTATCGGTCCATGCCCTAGGGGTAGATTCAGTCTCGTTGTGCACATTTGGAGAAAAGAGTAGTGCAGCGAGGCGCCATGGGTGTACCAACTGGGCTAATAAAGCCCATAGGCGGGCCATTGTCCTCGCTCCACTCGCTCCACTATGCACCACGTGCATAGAAGACGAGAACAAATTATGTCGGTGCATCTTTCCATGTTCTAGGGGAAGATTCATTTCCTCTTGCACTTTCGTGAGTCCGGGAGCGAGGCCCCATGTCTCAGTTATCTAAGGGCCTCGCCCTGCACACGAAACGAAAAACGAAACGAGTGCATCTTCTTGCAGAAAATGGCCAGATTCATGGGTTTACTATAAATAGTAACGAATGTATCTTGCCACCTTTCATGGGCCGATGCACATTGAGGCCCTAAGTTGTAAGGTCCTCGCTCCACTACTCTCCACGTGCACGAAAAGACAAAAGTTATGGCCATGTATCTTTCCATGTTCTAGCGACGGATGCTGACGCGATTTGCACATTTGCAGTGCAGTGAGCGAGGCACTTAGTTCTTGTTTTTTTTTTTTTTTTTTTTTTTTTTTTTGGGGGGGGGGGGGGGGGGGGGCTTAGTTCTTGTTTCGAGTATACGTGGGTCTTAGGGCCTCGCCACACCTATCTCCAAAACAGCCATTTGGAGAGAAGTGGCATCGCCACACCAACTCCCGAAAATCGCAGTCAGAAAGAATTTGGAGAGCGGTCAGAATGCGGTTCTTGGGAGTGCTCTCGAACTTTGTGGATCGCCCCGCGTGCGAAGCACCGGATTTGAGGAGTGGTCCGAGGCTCCTCCGATTTCGGCCCCAAACTGTAGAGTGCGCCTCGACTGACAACCATCTGTTGCCACCGTTTCGTCTGGGTTTGCCACACCACTCTCCAAATGTGAAAAAGACAAAAATGTGGCGGGTGCATCTGACCATGTTCAAGCGGGAAGTTCATTCTCATTTTGCACATTTCGAGAGTGGTGTGGAGAGGCCCGTCGTCTGCACTCTCCAAAAACTGTCGGGCCTCGTCTGACGAATTGGAGACTGCTGCCTTGGAGAGCGCAGTGTGGCGACGAGCCCTCTCGAAAGGTTTTCATATCTCCCCCGTTCGGGAGTGCTTCCGAACTTTTTTGCGTTTTCGGGATAGGTGTGGCGAGGCCCTTATTGCCTTCAGGGAACCCCCCAGTATATATGAATAGAAAAAAAAAAACAAGTCAAGAAAAGAAAGAAAAGACGAAAAAAAAGCAAAGGCGAAAACAAAAAAGAAACTGAATCTCGGTTCGCGTGAGAACGAACATGACTGGAATTGTAGAATAATAGTAGAAGAAGGCCACCACTGAGGAACACAAGATAGAACGTAATGCATCATAGGTCGAGTTGGATGTGAAGTTGGCTGCGGGATGTAACAGTGAACAGGGCTGGGTGTCTGATCTGCAGCTGGGGACGTGTTTGGCCAAGGAGTGCCTTGTGCCCAGCCCTGCAGGGGCTGCAATATGTTTGAAAAGAAAAGGAAAAAAAGAACGAATGTGAGTGGCTATGAGGCTAGGTGCGGGGTTTCTACCGGTAGAGGACACGAACAGCACCAGCGCACTCGTCATGATGTCTGTCTGCTGTGAGGAGGGGTAACATTTTCCTTTTTCCCCCCAACAGTAGAACGTTGGTCATTATAGCTGTGTATGTGGCAGAGATTTCAGACTAGATACATCGATAATGACCGGGTGTTGGATTCGCTGCAGACTGTTTAGGAAATGATGGGAAAGCCCCACCGCTCACTAACAGGTGGAAAAGACAAAGAAGCATCCAGGATGTATCTTGCCACCTTGTATGGGAAGATGCATTCTCCTTTTCTTCTTCTTCTTCTTCTTTTTCTTATTCTTCTTCTTCTTCTTCTTATTATTCTTATTCTTATTATTACTATCTTTTCAAAAAAAGATGGGCAATGTCTCCCGTATGGTTCCGGGCACTCCGGCCAGGTTCATATGGGGGTTGCGATTTCATTATACCAACCGGAAATCGGAAATCGGGTCCGGCGTCCGTCACATCAACAGTAAATTCTGGCAATAAGGTCGACACCGAAATAGTCACAGCACGAGCAAGCAGTGATGCGCAGTGAAAGCTAAGGCCAGTTTGGAGCCTAAAACTCAGGCCGCAAAACCCAAATATGTGTAGCGACGCCTAAAAGCAAGATGACCCAAGACGACCCAATCGTACAGAGCAACAAAAGAGACCACTATCTGCCAAGTGACAAGCGCGAACAACAAAGCCAAATAACCACAGCGAACAGCGAACAGTGAACAGCGAACAGCAGAACCCGGCAGTCGGGTCAGCCAGAGGTAGAAATCGAACTACTGACAAACTAGATAACATACGCTGCCAGCCAACACGGAGCACAAGCAATATGCCGGACCGAAAAAAAATTCTGGAAAAAACGCGAAGAATTTCAGTTCCGGCCGACCGACCATGCAGCGGTCAAGAAACTGTAGACACCCACGAAAACGGCTCGCAGCAAGCAGAAAAACGCCGAACAGTCTTAGATGAACGCAAAAAGAGGGGGGAAGAAGTAAAATAAAATCGAAATGGTCTGACCGGGGCGAGATCCCATCAGCAAAGAGGATTGGATTCAGCTCCTGAATCTGGGCATGTTTTAAGCAAGAGATGCAGAAAAGCAGTCCGATCTTGACTTTCTGCACCTTTCCACGAACACGTCTAGATTCAGGCGTTCAGTCCAACCCACTTTTTGGTATTGGGTTCAGTCCAACCAACTGCGGTAGCAGGACCTCGGTTGCGCAGTTGGTGCATGCACGGAAACAGAAAACAAACGATTCCAAATTAAACAAACAAGTAAACAAACAAACAAACAAACAAACTTGATTTTGGCAAAAAAAAAAAAGCAAGAACAAAAAAAACAAACAAAAAGTATTCCAATTGCCTACCATAGCGCTGTTGGTACATATGCATGAAGCAGACCTGCATTCCAATCGAAACGGGAAGAGTATTTCTGAGATAGCAAGTTAAAGAGTGCTTGAAATTGCCGAGCGACCTCGTTCCAATACGATCTGTCAGAGCTGTGAGAGCATGCCCTATCGATCCTTCAGCTATACCTATCTCTGTATGTATATACACACACAACCAGCACGCGCTCGCACGAGAGCGAGAGAGAGAGAGAGAGAGAGAGAGAGAGAGAGTGTTGCACCTTGTGATGGAGAAATTGCATGCCTGTTTGCAGGTGTTAACGGATTGTTTGGTTTGTTTCCGTATAATGTTTGGCGTTTGGCGGCAGGGATGGGCGAGGTAACAGTGGTTGTAGTAACCTGGAGCAAACAAATAATGCACGTGGTCCTGTTTGCCCTGCGAGTACGTCGTCATTGGAATCGTCGCTGTCCAATGGCTCTCAATACAGAGGGATGGAGGCTAGTGGAAGTGGGAGGGTGATTTCCACGGAAGTGGCATTTGAGAAGGGGACGAGGAAGGGCGATATCATGTCTCGGCTAGATGGGCCCGTGTCGACGACATCCTGTCTGAATGCCCAGATGATCGGATGCTCTGATGGACCACCTGTCGCGAATGCCAACTGGCGCATGAGCAGCATGCCTTTGTCGCCGATGCCCCCCTTCTCCACGTACGGTTCCACGTACTTCCCTGCGCCCGCGGCGTTTCCTACGTACGGGGGTCTGAATGGCAATGCTATGCCGCTACGCAACGCTACGCAAATTCAGTCGAAGGCGGAGGAAACAGGAGTGCCGGTTATGGGCCTCCCGGCGCGTCCACTATGCTCCGACGCGGATGCGTCCGTCTCCTGGATTCCTCAGAGGATGTCTTTCCTGCAAAATGGCTTTGGTTCATCCACCACACCTGACGTGCAGAACCTGGCGGCAAGGGGGAGTGCTCCTGTGAAAGGATTCAGCGAAGAGCTAGGCAACCTGGCGATATGTGGCGACGGTGAAGCAGCGGGAATGCCGTTGCCGATGGTGGCACAACGAGGACCACGATATTGCATGGACGGATCGTATGACATCCAAAGCCTACCGCATGGATGCACAGCAATGGGGGCTTGTCATCAAGACATGATGGGTTATTCTCCCACCGATGGGAACGTTTCGTCGGACGTGGAAGATGTCGTGATCGATGAGAAGAAGCGGAGAAGGTAAGGACCTGTTGGATCTCAGAGTACACCTATGGGTAACTTGCGTCTGATCCTGTTGGATGATCTCTCTGCCTGATGAGTGCATGTGTCCCATTTATCGGTGTGCGAGGACGGCAATTTGGTGCCATAGCTTCATTAGGTTGATTCAACACCTCCCTCCCCCCCCCCTCATTTGAGACCACCAGTTTTTCAATCAAAAAAAAAAAAAAAAAAAAAAAAAAAAGAGGTTGATCTACAACAACGATTTGACAAGTACGAATGAAATGGGTGTATTTTAGTGATTCTAAAGCAATTATTAAAAAAAAAGGGATTGTAATTTGTAAAGCAATACCAACAAGCCTCGCTCAGTTGGTACACCCATGAACTGTTTAAATACAGACCCAAGTTAGAGTCCTGATGGACTGATAGACTTCTTATGCAATGCCCTGGTGCTTGTCACTGCTGTCTTGTCCAAGTTGCCCTCAATACCGGTGGGGTGATGGTGGTCCTGAGTGCTGGTCACGCTGAGGTAGCGATAGTAGGGACAGGGAGTGTGCAGGGAGTGTCAACGTGGTGATGGGTAGGGTAGGTGGCCTTATCGTGTCAGGACAACCATTGGCTGCCGCTGCCAGCAATCACTGCGGGTCTGGTCCTTGCCCTCTACTACAACACCCTGGGCTTTTTTTTGGGAAAAAAAAAGAAAAAAGAAGAAAAAAAAAGAAGACATATGCAATGAAACCATTCTGCATTACCTGCGGCTGGTCAGCTCGATGATGATGTCTCCAGGCCTTCGCCGTTTGGAAAAAAACTTTTAAAAGGGATTGTAATGCAACTGCACTGTCACAGTTTCTGTATGGGACCGGAAAGATGGCTAGTATATGCATTCATGATCAGAGAGTGCTGGGGGGAAGATGGTAGCGAAAAGGAGCTGGTGCTTTTCAGAACTGTGTGGAAGGAGGAATTCCAATCTAACAGGGATGGCTCATCAAAGAAACAGTTGGCAACAAGGAAGATGAGAGAAGTGACTCTTGTGTGAAATGCCAGTGATGTCCTCCTTCACTCTTCTCTCTCCTATACGCAGTGTCGTATGTACTACTGGCCTTGCCTTTTATACAGGGGTCTGCAATGGGTGTTCAATCCCAGAGAGACAGGGCCTCACTCCACTATACAACCCTCTGCATGCATTTGGACGTTCTCAGCACCGGATACATTAGAAATGTCGGGCTCGTCCGAATGCACCTGGTCCAGAAAGCATCCAAATGCACGTAGAGTGTTGTGCAGTGGAGCGAGGCCCGCACACTGACCTCTGTGTGTGCAACCATGAGATTGTACCCACTTTTTGATGTCAAGCTTTCTCTTTAACCATGATGATCCCCGAGAACCAGGGGGGGTTCGAACTGGCATAAACAAACACCCCACCCACCACCACTTCATCCTAGACACCAGCGGCTTATCTTGCATATATGCCTCTCATGGAAAGTTCGCTTGATTTGTAAATTGTGGGAAACATGGCTACGAGTGTTTTCCTGATAAACTGCTGTGGCGGTGTCTTTTGACTGTCTTGGCAGGATGATGTCAAACCGTGACTCCGCTCGACGATCGCGTCAGCGTCGGCAGGAGAGGCTGGAGTTGTTGGAGCGGCAAGCAGCTCTCCTCCGCGTTGAGAATTCGAAACTGAGGTCCAGAACGATGAGTGTGACCGATCAAATGCTCAGGTATGAGGAGGAGAACAAACACCTTATAGAAGAGCTGACGAGCCTAAAAGAGGAGGTGGCTTCCCTTCGTCGTGGGGGCAGCGGTGGATTGACTGGAAGTGGGATGGGAAACTCTTCCGATGCTGCGTGCGAAAGCAGTGGAAACGACGCCGAACAATGTCAAACGAAAGAACAGTGCGCTCCCGGCTGTTGCAAGGACGGCGAGATGGATGGGAACGGTGTTGATATGCTACACGGGACGAGTCAAACGGCGAAGAGGATGCGTAACGGCGTGGAGAAAGATGTGGCGGGTTCGAATGCTCAAAGAGGCGCAGGACCTACTGGCAACGATGCATCTTCTACGGAAGTCGACGAGATGGATAACAAGGAAGTTTTGGCAAATCTGAATCAGGACGAAACGAACAGGACGGCGTGCAGCTACCATAACGCGGTCTCAGCGCTGGGTAAAAACGACGCGGAAGGGGAATCCGGCATTCCCAAGGATGCGCCATCTTGTACTTGCACGAACCACTCCGTTGGGTCGTCTTCCCCTGATGAGTTGGACTTGGATGACACAGAGATGCTTGTAATGGACGAAGAGATGCTCAGAAGTGCAAGGCGAGTGGGGGAGGAAGGTGAGAGCGCCAGGAAGGGGGAGAGTTGCATGAGGATGGTGGATGTAAGATGTGATGGACAGAACCAAACAGGGTACAGGAGTGACTGTCTGTTTGGTTACGGCATGCCAAACACCTTATCTACTTCTGTGACCCCATGCAACTTCGACGGTCAAGGTTCGGATGCGATGATCGCCAGTGGAAACTGGACTTTGGAAGAGCTGTTCTCGTTTAACTTCGAAGCCGAATAGAGAGAGAGAGCGTGAGGGCGTACTCACACTAGGACTTTTTCGACGCAGCTCTCGACATGATTGCATCAGATATGCATCCAGGTCCGTCTGTAATTGCGGCAAGATATGCATTTGGACCGCAATTGCGGTAAGATGCATTTGGGAAAAAGTGCTAGTGTGAGTATGCGCTTATTAGGTTGGTGCTCTTTGTCTTTCACCGCTGAGTGTTGTTTTATCACATTGTCGTTTTTTTTTTTTCACCCCCTTTTTTTGTGGCTTATCGCCATGTGTTGGCTCCTTATGTTATCTTCAGACACTGAGGAAGCATCTGCTTTGTGCTGGATACGTTTAAGCGTGAACGAACAATGGTTGGTACGCGAAACCCACCTTTACGACCTGGGCTCCTTTATACTCATCGTCTATTTTCACTTTCATCTACTTTGTCCGCGAGCCGATCAGAACTCAGAACCTCGGAACGCAGTTCTCGCGGCTCTGGACGTGATTACGGTCAGATACGTCCAGCGTTCCCTTCCCCTGATGAGCTGATCGAAAGTCTTCGTGCTGAGTGATTGCATGGTAGAACAGGTTCCAATAGGGTAAGAACGGTATATACTATATACGTGGCGGCATGTGGAGGGCATCTACTCACACGAAGACTTTTGGTACTCAGCTCTGGACGTAATTACGGTCAGATTCATCCAGCGCCGCCCGTAATTCTAGTCAGATACTTACAGGAATGTCCTAGTGTATGCCCTGGGTCTCTGCAAAGGGGAGACTTATCTGCATGCCATTACGATTAGTGTTGCGCATGAACACTGCATCGGATGGAAGAGTACCGTTCGGTTAGAATTCTACACGGACACGTATAAATGCTGAAATGATCGCTTGCCTAGCAGCTTTGTGGTGTCTGTATATTTGTGCAACGCAGCTTCGGTTTCTCTCCCCGTCGATTTCTACACTGATTTCGCAGAAGCATTCCTGACTGCTCAGCAGGTCCTTGAGGCTCTTTGACAAGTCTCCTTTGTCGACGGTTTGAACGCGTTTTTTTTTTCGGTCGACGGCATGAACAAGTTTCTTTTTCGGTCGGCGGCATCAACATTTTTTTGTTGTGGTTGACGGCATGAACAAGTTCTTTTGGTCGACGGCATGAGCGAGGGAGACGAGGAACAGGAAGGGAGGGGTTGAGACAGCCAGCTGCCACTCTTCGCACCCGCATTAAAGAGACACTATCCTCTCATATCTCTGAATTGCATGGCCGTGTCCTTGTGTAACGATAGATCACCAGAGTTGGCGGCAACGGCAATACGCTGACGTCATTGGTTTTCTGGTGCAGAAGCCCGTCGTTCGAGATCTTGCACTCCAGTGCTACATTCCTGCTGCTTCCTTGCTGAAGGGGGGGGGGGTGCTGTTCTTGCTTTTGCCTGCTAAAATGTTTCGGTCGCTGCGCCTTCCGCAGCAAACCGCGAAAGCAGTTTTTTTTTTTTTTTTAACGGATGCGAAAACAGTTTTGAGTAGGAGTGCTAGTAGTAGTCGGCGTCGCAGAAAGTAATAATAATAGTACAGTGCTAGTCTGCTAGAGGTATGTATGGAATCACATTGCCTGCAGCTGGAATATGCACAGTTCTGAGTTCGCGAACGATGTGTTCGTTCCAACTTTTATGCCCGTGGATTTTTCAGGAGGGGGGTGGGCCAACCGGAGCCCTGGACTTTTCAAGGGGTGGGGGGTGGGGGGTGGGGGTGGGGGAGGGGGTCTGTGCATGCTCTCGCTGTTGCAAAAAATGTTGCAAACAAGGCTGTGAGCGATTCCTTAGTTCCAATTCCATCCTCACGCATTCAGAAAGAATGTAATGCAAGCTTTACTTTGACATTTGGGTTTCTAGGGTATGATGATGTGGTTACGGTCTGTTTGAGACCAAGTTTCTTTTCTTTTTTTTCTTTCGTGTTTGTGCATTTTCGGTTTTGTGACGACTTCTCATTGAAAGTAATCCTAGGCTGGTTTATTCGCGGGTAATAAAGGCCAGTCGAATGAAACTTTCAAATGAAACTTTCAAATGAAACTTTCATCTGCAATTTGACGGTTTGATGGATTGATTGATTGATTGATGTTTGTTCGAAAGCTCTGCTGATTACTTCGTTGATCCTTTTCGTGACATTGCCGCGTTATGTATCTTCTCCTCCTAAAAGCAAGCTCTGCTTTTGGACAACAAAACTACCATAGTAATGACCTCACAGAAGCCGCTCGTTGATCTTTGATACATCATTCTGGATTGGATTCATATGCATGCATGCCAGCATAGTCATCGTCTACCAGGAGGGCATCTCATCTCTCAATGCACTGGCTGCATGACTCTTTTTGCCTCGTTCGCCAAATGCCTCCGGAAAGGCGGGAGCCTGGAGGCAACTCACTCCACGAAAGCATCGGGCTTTCTCAAGACCAACAGCAGCGGGTTATCGTCGAGTTCTTTATCCGTTGATCGAAGTCGAAAGTCGAAGTTAAGTTGGTGGCATCCTTGTCCTTGCTTCGAAGTGAAGTTGGCGGCAGCCATAGACACAGTGTCGTTGCGGCGCTGCCAGGGCGCAGGCAACCCTCTCTGCGCCAGCCAGTTAAGTTGGCGCCAGCCAAGATCCAATCGCTATACGTAACAAGAGAGATCGCAGACTTGACCAAAGGAGCAAAGAGAAGTAACCAGAGAGATCGCAGAAACTGGAGAGTGAGTCTCCAATCGCTATAGGTATGCTGACGATGAAGAAAGGAGCAAGGCTTGTGCTTCCCACGCTAATGACCTTCAGTCTCAGTTCTGTGCATGGCGATGCTTTGCTCCATCCTTGCGGCCGAGTTCATCTGCTGAGTTCATCTGCCCATAGCACGGTCGATGCGTATGCTGATACTGAGCCTCTGGTGCTTTTCTACGTAATGCGCATGGTCAATCGGATGGGCAGCAATGGGGCACTTGGTGGACCGTGTCTGTTGCTTTTCCACTTAATGTGGCCTGGCCCGGTCTATTGGCTGGGCAGCAAAGGGGCACTGGGTGGACGGCGTCTGCTGCTTTTCTACGTAATGCTTCACATTTGGCCTTTATGGTGCCACCGGGGAGCCGTTCTTGGGCGACTCTATTTGTGACCAGAAGGTGGGGTTGCTCTCTGCTGGTCTGGTTTTGAACCGCCTGGCCTAGTGCGCGGCCTGAGGCAACTGGAGAACCTGCTGTTCTGAGCCTCTCCGGAAAATTTAGGAGGCCGGGCGTCGCAGATAAACGGAATCTGCAGTGGGTGGCCTCCGAAAGGGGCCCGCGACCGATAGCTGGCATGTACTGGTTTGCTTTAAGCTTCAAGGTGAACTGGGTTATTAGACAATGACATGTCGACACACGACTCGACAGAAAGATGTAGACATTGAGACGAAGTGTCAGGACCTCAACGTTGCAGCAGCCACTCGACGCTCGGTGTGGAAGATTGCGGAGGTTTGGACTAGGGATTTGTTTGATTGTATGTATATATGTCTGTCGAAAGATGGATGGACAGCCAACTCGTTGAATGTTATGTTAATTTCTAAGAGGATTTGCTTTCTTCATCTGATTTGTGACCTGTTTTATATAATATTTGCTCGCTTGCTCGCTTTCTCCTCTTCTCCTTCTTTTTCTTCGTGCTCCCCCTCCTCCTTTCCCTCCTCTAGTTTGTCTTCTTCTTCTTCTTCTTCTTATCCTTATTCTTATTCCTTGTCTTCTTTGCCCTCTTTTTCTTCCTCTTCTTTGTCCTCTTCTTCCTTTTGTTCCTACTCTGCCTTTGTTCCGTCCTTTCCTTCTTTTTCTTCCTCCTTTGTTTTTATTTTTTTTCCTTCTCTTCTTCTTCTTCTTCTTCTTCTTCTTCTTCTTCTTCTTCCTTGTCCTCCTCTTCTTCTTCCTCCTCCTTCTCCTCCTCCTTGTCTTCATCTTCGTCTTCGTCTTCGTCTTCGTCTTCGTCTTCGTCTTCGTCTGCTGCTCCTTCTCCTCCTCGTCCTTCTTCTTCTTTCTCCTTTTCTACGTCTTCCTTTCCTTATTTCAACTTCTTTCTTCTCATTTCCTTTCTCTCTTTTTTCTTTTTTCTTCTTGTTTGTCTTTTTTTTCTTTCTCTATGTTGGGCAGTTGCCCGAACGGGCAATGGTCTGGGTGGGCAGGGCGGGACTCGACCGGCAAAACCGGGCGGGTCAGAAAAAGAGGCAAGGATCCCTGCCTCCAAAAGAAAACTAACTTCAGACCAGGACTGTGCTTGGCCTGAGCAGTCGGAATCCGGCCTTCGGTGATGGGTCATCCAGCGGGGGGTAGGAGGGGTATAAACAGTGGCTAGAGGGGTTTAAGGTGATATATCTTAAGTTCTGAATTCATGTTTTTCCTCTTTTATGTTTATCTGAGCGGACCCTCAGTCAAAAGTTGTTTGCATTGCAATTTTACACGTCTTTTTTTTTCCAGATTTCTTTGATTTAAAAAACAATTATGCATGACCTGGAGCCTGCCCGGCCGGGCCAGCCGGCGTGGGTACCCAGGTGACCTTCCCCCGGCCAAGCCGTTTGAGGACCAGCCTCGCTCTGGTTTCTTTCTTTCTTTCTTCGTCTTTGGCTTCCCCTCCATCTTTCTTCCTTTTTTTCGTCCTTTCTCTTTCTTCATATTCTTTTTCTTTGTCTTCTTCTGCTGCTTCTTTTTGGTCTACTTCATCTTTCTCCCTTTCTTTCGTATTGTCCTTCACTTCTTCTTCTCGTCTTTTGATTCGTCCCGCATCGCCACTTTTGTGTACCATAAATGGCTCACTTGTAGCTACCTTTTTTTTTTTTTTTTTTTTTTTTTTTTTCGAAAAAGGCTCCATCTATTGGTGGGGAGAAGCACCTGCTGGAAACCGGGTCCAGCGTCCCATAGATACAACCATATCCTCACAAATTGGCACAAACTGGGAACCGGGTCCAGCGTCCCATGACGAGTACGCTCAGAAAACTTCAACAGAAAATTCATGAAAATGAGACAAGGAAGTTGAAGGAACTACTAGAAAAATCTAATTGGCCTGAGGATTGAATTTTGGAAATTGAGATACTGGGGCCATAACCCGGCTTTGGCTCGAAAAAATTAGAAATTAGAGCTACTTCAGACATGTCTAGGACAATCTTTATGATTAAGCGAAATTCAGAAACGACTCAGAACCCCCCCCATCAATCCACTATACCTCACTCCGGCAAGACTGACTGCAGCGGAGCCACCATCTCTGCTGCTGCTATGCCATACTCCCATCCTACCAGCTAGCCCCCTCACTGGTAGAACGCGTGGTAACCCACCATCCTCTCCCACTCACCTTATCTTCTTTTTTAAATACCTAAGAACTCTAACTGTCGTTCCAGAAGCATGAGAATAGGCCACAGAGGTCCTACGATTATTTCAAAAACCTTGAAATCCCACCCAAACCCTTCCAACGTTCTCCAAAGCTGTCGTACTCCCTGCCGATCTCTTCTAGGTCTCACACCCCCACTTTCTGCTGGGTTACAGGGCAGCGCGACTCACCCCAGCTCCGACCAGCGTCGTCCCGGCAGCAACCCTTGGTTGTCCCGTGGGAAGCCCACCCCAAGACATCCCCAGATGTCTCTAGCAGACCTCAAGCTCCTGCATCGCAGGTTACAGGGCAACACCCCAGCACCGGTCAGCGTCGTTCTGGCATCGAACAACCGCAGATCAGGGAGTATAACAGCATTGAAGCCACCTAAGACGAGTTAGTAGGGATCCCAGAGTCCTAAAGAACATTCCTAGGATCACTAAGCACCCAACTCTTTTTGGGACATTTGAAAAACTTCAGAAAAATATAAGGGCGGGGGGGGCAAGACTAAATCTACCTACTATCCTAGATTCCACCTTCCAACAGATGGGCCCTCGGTCCAGGCTTTCAGTCCTCGTACCAGAACTCACTTGATCTCATACCCCCTTCTGCTAGGGTAACAGGGCACCGCAACCCTCCCTAGTACCGATCAACCTAGCTCTGACGGACAGGAAGTGTCTTCCTCCCTCGACAATTCCCTTAGCGGTGAGCCCCTAAACAGGTTACAGGGTCAAAACCCCGGCGCCAACTACGTCGGACAATCTGGTTATGCCTTTCACCCTCGGCATAACTTCCCAGGCCTCAAGCTCCCCCTGGGTTACAGAGCAGAGGCTCCAGCACCAGCCTGTGTCGTCTCAGCATCGTCCTTCTAACCTACTTACCCTAACAAACAACCCTTTCTGTTGAGAATCCCCTTGCTACCTTCCTTCTTTTAAATTTAGCTTCCCCCCCGTTCAGCTTACTGTGTAGCCATTGAAGACACTCCCCTCAAAAAACAAAATCCTAACACACTGCTATAAGCAGCCACCCTCTTGCCTTCTCTCCCCACCTGCCCGTACTGATCCGACCCTAAATCAGTCCGGCTAAGAGACAACAATCCCCCAATACCGCCTCACCCGTCCAAGAATAACACCTCCCACCTTGTGAAACCCTTCCGGGGGGAGGTTCCAACCCTCAAGGGAGACCCCACAGATATACACAGCAAGCCACAATTACACCCCTCAAGACCAGGAAGCTGAGATTAGACGCACGGTGTTATGATTAGCAACCATAGGGTTTTTAAAAAATACTGCAATAGCCTACTTTTAGGCATCGAAGATTAGAATGAGGTTGTATCAGAAATCAAGAAAAAAATCAAGACCATACGATCAATGATAAGGAAAACTACCGAGTGACAAAATTTACGAGAAATTATACGAAGTTTAGGTTTAGACATCCATAGAGGATTTTCGAATCAGATTCCCAAACCACAGTTTGAGAAACGTTTAGCAAAGATGTATGGCATGAAAAAGTTTAAGAAAATATTTTCAAGAAANAGAGGATTTTCGAATCAGATTCCCAAACCACAGTTTGAGAAACGTTTAGCAAAGATGTATGGCATGAAAAAGTTTAAGAAAATATTTTCAAGAAAACTACGCAGGCAGAGAAGCAAAGGCAACCAATATGCCGAGAATCTCATGAAGACCCGCCCCCTTTCAAAGGCAGACTTCCCTTCATCCAGCGTTCTGGCCTGCAGCATCACTAGGTGAAGCGTGAAGTTGGAGATGGCACCACCTGTGCTTTCAAAAGGCAGGCCACACCAAGTCGCGCCACATCATCTCTACCGTCTCGCTGTCAAGTCTCGGCCCACAGCCCCCACCCGCCCACCGCGTCGCCAGACTCTCCGTTAGCTTTTGCGTCGCGTCGCTTCCGCTCCGACGGTGCTCCAGTGGGGGCGTTAACTCTCCGGGTCGCGCTACCCCCCGCTTGGAAGTCCGTTTCACACATGATCGAGTCTCCACTTGTAGCTACCTTAATTCTTCTTTCTTTCTTTTTCCTTTATTTTTCTCTTGTTATTTCTCGTTTTTCTTCTTCTACTCCTTCCTTTCTTTCTTTATTGCTCTTCTTCGTCCACCTTTTCTCCCTCAACTTGTTCTTCCTTCTTCCTTCCTTTTTCATTTCTTTCCTTGTTTAATTCTTTGTTTTTTTAACTTTTTTCTTTTCTTTTCCTTTTGTTACTTTCTTTCCTTTTTTTGTTTCTTTCTTCTTTCCTTCCCTCCTTCCCCTTCCCTCCTTCCTTCCTTCCTTCCTTCCTTCCTTCCTTCCTTTCAACCACAACTGAAAGGCTTCGTCTTCTGTTTTCTTCGTCCTTTCTTCTTCCTTTCTTTGTTTCTTTCTTTTTTCCTTACCTTTTTTCCTTCCCTTCTTCCTTCCTTCCTTCCTTTCTTTCTTTCTTTTTGACCGCCACTACCTTTCGGTGTTGGGAAAAGTGGGAATATAACCTATACCACATGCTTTGGAGACCGAGCCCAGTGACGTCTTTCTTTCTTTCTTTTAACCGCAACTGAAAGGCTTCTTCCTTCCTTTCCTTCTTCCTTTCTTCTTCATTTATTTCCTTGTTTATTTTTCTTTCCTTTCTTGCTTTCTTTCCTTTCTTTGTTTCTTTTTTCTTTCCTTTCATTCTTCCTTTCCCTCCTTCCTTCCTTCCTTTCTTTCTTTCTTTCTTTTTTTCTTTTTAATTTCCACTTCCTTTCGGTGTTAGGGAAAGCGGGAATATAACCTGCACCACATTCTTTGGGGACTGGGTCCAACGGCGTGTTTCTTTTTTTTTTGTAACCGCAATTGAAAGGCTTCTTCTTTTTTTTCCTTCTTCCTTTCTTTTTCATTTCCTTCCTTGTTTATTTCTTTGCTTTTTTTTCGTCCCTTTCTAACTTTCTTTACTTTGTTCTTTCTTCTTGGTTCTTTGTTCTTTCATTATTTCCTTCCCTTTTTGCTTCCTTCCTTGTTTCCTTCCTTCCTGCCTTTCTCTCTTTCTATTAAACCGTCACTACCTTTCAGTGTTGGAAAATGCGGGAATACAACCTATACCGCATTTTTTGTGGACCGGGGCCAACGGAGGATGCTATTGATAAATTGAATTGGCAGCCTTTGTTTCATTTCGACCTTTGAAACGAGCGGGGACCCTCCCCGCACCCGATGTGCGTGAACGGTAGTAGTGTTTTAAAGTTCAACTCCTCTAAGAAGCAA